CAGTTAGGTCTTCCATGCGCTCATCCACCCCATCCTTACAATGTGTGTCCTTTCTGTCGTCAAGGACAGCCTCATTCTTGAGCTTTTCCCTGTGTTTAACACCTTCCCCTTCACTCTGCCTCTCTTACAGCGTGCAAGTGGGCTGTTATGGCATACGAGGATGGGGGCAGCTCGCGCTCAACTTCATCAACGTGGCGAGCCTTGCACGTGAGAGGCACAGTGGAGGTGGAGTTCAAAGAAGAATGAGAAATTTAATGGTTTCAATCTGCCCTTGTTCTTTCTTTTTGTTTTTTACTTTTGCATGTTATCACTGTGCCCGTTTTTTGCTTTTATTCTTTGTTCCGCAAAGTGCGCTCTTTTAGTTTGTAGTGATGTGACAATATATATAGAACCCGTTCATTCTCCCCGCCACGGACCTCCCCAACATCCCATCCCCGTCTTTTGCCGCCCCAAGCATCCTTACCACGCCTGCAACGCTCTTCGACTGCAGACCTTTCTGCAACGCGGAAACACAAAACGGGAGGGATGATGGCGAGGGACCATCTGAGGATGAACTTGGCAAGGGGACTGTAGGAGATTCTGTAGAAAATTTCCGCCTGACCGGCCTCCACCGAATCTGTGTGGCCTCGCTGCTACTAACATCTGCCTACAAGCCTATCGTCGGGAACCATATACTCACTCTGATTTCTTGGCCATTTCTTCCGATCTTGATGCTCAGGAACGTGAGTTATATGGCGATAACCCGGCTCTGCATCCCCCACAGGATAGTAATTACACTCGACATGGGGGATTCAATGTCTCTGTTTTGGAGACTGCTTTGATAAGGCGCCGGCTTGATATGCAGCGTGCCCCTTCGGGTGGCGACCCAGACCACTGTTCGCAYGTTTGTGCCTATATTCTMCATAYTCCTGGCCACTACACCGCTCTTGTCCGTGCCTCTGGTTCTTGGGAATTATGGAATGGCGGTGCTATGGTGCAAACTATTACTGCCATCTGTGATCTCGTGCGTAATTACCCTAACCTGCAACTGCTCCAGGTCATTGACCCTATGGGTACCTCGTGTACTTCCATGCCCGCCTCTACGCCTATTTCTGTGCCTGCCTCCGTACCTATCTCTGTGCCTGTTTCTATGTCTGTCTCCTTCCAGATTACTGACCCTATAAGTACCTCGTGTACTTCAGTCCCCGCCTCTGCACCTGTCTCTGTGCCTGCCTCCACACCTGTCTCCATGCCCGTTTCTGTGTCTGTCTCCATGCCCGTTTCTGTGTCTGTCTCCATGCCCGTTTCTGTGTCTGTCTCCATGCCCGTTTCTGTGTCTGTCTCCGTGCCTACCTCCATGTCTATCACCGTGCCTGCTTCAGTCTTCATTCCCCTGCATGCTGCGCTCACACCTTGTGACCTCCTTCTTTGTAAGATCACTGACACAGTTACACTTGGTTGTGGAAAGCATCGACTTTGTTCACATCACTACAACCATATAATTTTTCGGGCCCGCTGTCGGCAGGGATGCCACCTGTATCCGGATTGTGAACATCCTCTGCATCCAGATGCACTATGTCCCATTCGTGCCTACGGGTGCTATAGTGAATGTGCACTTAACTGTGATGGTGAACGCCCCACAATGGTCATGCCCTCTGCCGTGCATGCTTCAGAGGTATGGTCGATGCTAGCCGTCCTGGTTCCTGCTGTGACGAAGTTGCTTACCTGAATGGTTTTCGTCCTATAGATCAGCGGGAGGGCTGCTACCATCGCCCGCATCCTTATGATAGTTGTCCTATCTGTCGTGAGGGTCTTACTTAGACGTACCTTGCACGTTGACAAAAATGTGCAGGTGCGCTGAAAAGAGTGTACAAGAATGTGCAAAGGTGGGAAACCCTTCACTAAAACTGCAAAACAGTGAAGACTGCAGTAAAAGAAGAACATAAGTTTGTGTC